TTCGACCAAGCAAACCTCTATACATCGTTCAATTTATTTTTGGTTTTAAGGCCATTGTAAAGCCATATAAAGCGCAATACATAAAACAGATTCCATTTCAAAGACAATCATTCGAAATTTTGAAAGTACTTTATTTTATAGTCTAACTAAGATGGAATATTGAAAATAACTTTATCGCAGCCGAATCATCGGAAAAACGAAGCCTGAAGCCGTGGCAAATATTCAGCCCAGGAAAATCGCAATATAAATCAATCCTGGCCACCGATAATTACCAAGTGCGGCCATTGATTATCTCTGGGCTCTTAACTGGCACCTCCGAAATTCAATTGAGCTGTATTTCATGCATTCCAAACATTTGCCCAGCTCACTGGCAATAAAAATCCAAAGTCCGCGGACCAGCAAAACACCAATTTATGGCTTCCAGTGTTTCCGTTTGTCCGTCATTTACAAATGATCCAGTGCGAATAGGAGACCCCAGAGCTTACAGGGACACAAATAATTGCCCAAGACTAGCTTAAAACTAAACTTATTTTTGCACCTTAACCAAAAACAAAAAAAAACAGAAGAAAATCTCAATTATTTAGGCTGAGCATTTAGCCAGAGTTGAGTTAACTGGTTGCTCGTCTGCATGTGTGCTAGTTATATAAAGATAAAGTAAGAAATAAAACATCGCAAACTATAACAAACAACAGGATGCAGTCAGCCAGCGGCGAGGCAGCCAACTGGTCTGTGTTTTAATTTTTCCTTCTTTTTTTTTTTTTCTATCTTCATTTTCCCCTCGATTTTTTGGAGCATTGGGAAAGCACTTGCTGGCATACGTAGAAAAATTGTTTTCGATACACTTTTCGACATTCATTCATTCGGCGGACCAACGACCGACCGGCTGGCTGGCTGGCTTGCTCGCTGTTCAAGTTGCCGATGACGATGGCAATTGCAATTGCGGCAACTTTTAGCTAGCTGCTAGTTTGTTGGTTTCGTTTGGAAAATTGAAACAATTTCCGATGTCACTCTCACTTTTTATTTCACCTGACGACGAGTTGCAGCCAATCTAGACAACCAGATATGTAACGACGATGGACGACGACTGCGACGACCACAACAACGCTAGCCAAGACGTGATTTGGAGATGTGTTTGCTCTCTGTTGCAACTGTCGCTGCTGCTGCTGTACCTGCTGATGCTGCTGCACTTGTTGTGTCCAGCGAGGGAAAAAGTGGTACAGATTGCGCTAAAGTCCCAGCTCCAGCTCCAGCTCCAGCATCATCATCATTATCGCCATCGTCATCATTTGCTGACTCCCCAAAAACGCATCCATGGCAACGACTGCAACATCTGGGAGCTGCTGTTGCATGTTGCTGCCGCAGAAGTTGCTCTCGTTGATGAGTTGCATAGTCCGCCACAGCAACTCGGACATCTTAGGGGTTTTCGAGTGAGGAGCACTGTTCCTGACAGGCCATCATTTATACCCGGGTTAGAGAGCAGGCTCAGCAGGGGATTTTACGAGTTTCAAATGGAAAAATTTTCAAATTTCCACTGTAAATTTGCCAAAAATTATCTAATACTTCATAGTCCTTATGAGTTTCAACTTCATTAATTAAAAATACTTATTATATGTATATAAAAGGATTTCTATGAAACATATTTATAAAAAAAGGAAGTTTATTTCTATACAAATATAATTTATGGCTGGTAATAGAAGCATTGCTGTATCAAGGATTCCATAAATAAATCAAAAAATAATAAAATCATTAATTAATCTACGTTTATGTTGATATTATTGCTATTGAGTTCAGAAAATTTGGAATTCCTTGAATTCGTAAAAGTATTCAATCAACCAATAAAAGATTCCACTGATCTTGTGAATGATCTTGGGTATTAATCTCTTCTATCTGAAGCATTTCGCATTAGCTTTATTGCCCGTGCGTGTCTGTCTCTTTCCTTTTCTGTTTGTTGGTCGTTGGATGTTTGTTGTGACGCTTTTGGTATCAGGTTGCCATTGCCTCGTTAGAGAGTCTGTATGAATGTTTGTGTGTTTTACACATACACACGCCGCGATCCTGGCAGCGAATATTTGTTGTCGCCGCATTGCAAGTTGCAAGATGCTGATGCTGCTGCTGCTGCTTTTGCTGCTTTGACTGATGTAACAAGGTTTAATTTTCCATTTCAGTGAGCGGCTTGCTTTGGAGATTTTTACTCTCGTTTTTCATTGTGTGTCGCCGGCTTTGGCTTGGTTTTCCTTTTAGCCAAGTCTTAGTCTTAGATTTGGTTGTGGTTTAGTTGCGCTTGATAATGCTTTTAGCTATTGCTATTGCCGCTGCTGAAGCGCGACTGCATCGAATGATTGTCATGATTATAATGATAATAATGCGGCTAGCATTTAATAATCATCATGCCGCTGCTGATGACAGGGGTTTCCTCTGCAAATCGACAAAGTTAATTTTGGGCTACTCCTAGGATTCCTACTCTATAACTATGTTTCAGTTACAGTGCAACACTGAGGAAAAATTCTCCAACATTTGGGCTTAAAATTATTACAAAAACTCTAGCCACAGGAATGGCATTGTTGGGTCATTTCCTCAGTGCAGTTGCAGCAGCCGTACTAGCAACATTGTCAACGGCCACAACATCTCCTCCGCTGGACATTTTTGCCAATCTGGAGCGCCGTTTTCCATCGTCGCCATCGTCTGTCTGCCTGACTGCGTTTTTCGCGGTTTTACAACTTTGATTTCACTTTTCTTTGCAACATGCGACGCCGCTTGCGGGACTTTATTCGCATTCGCATTAGTATCTGTGGCTTTAGCTGTGCATCTGCACTCGTACCTGTATCTGAATCTGTATCCGTACCTTCACCGTCCGTTTCTTGAACTGTTTGCTTCATTGCTCTCGTTGTTGTCGTCCGCTGTCGCTCGGCCTAAACTTTGTTACTCTTTAATTGGTTTTTTTTATTACGATTTTCTTCTTGGCTTTCGCAGGCATCCGCTTAAAGGTGATCATCGCCACGATGATCGCGCCGTCGCTGATGATGATGCAGTGTCGTCCAGCTTAAGAGTGGGCTATAATTGTCAACCACTTTGGCACGTTTGCAACAAATTATAAAACATATCGCTTGTTTTTTCTTTTTGGGCAGTGGAGAGCGGTCTGGGATTTTTGGGCGCCGACGAGATTTTACTTTTGACAAGCAAAAGTCTTATGAAAGGTGATGACGCTTCAGGTGCAACATGAGTTTAATTGGCTCTTGCAGGTTGCAATTTATTCATTATCGGGGTTTTCACTTCGAAATCATTCAATGAGAACAGAAAATATGACGCGCATCAAAAGCTCATATTGTTTTGTAAAATATTTCCTAAGTTATTAAGCTATTAAACCAGAAGGTAAAAGGAATTACCTTTTGTCATACGACTATCGTTTGCCTTAAATATTAAAAGCTTAAACTTTTTATTTGCTTTAATTAGTTTCCGTTGATCTGAAATATTTAATATTCCCATATCAATCAAGCAGATTAGTTTTTATGCCTACAATATTTACTTTTGACAACCCGAAGGACAGAGAAATACTTGAGAGAAAAACCAAATAGCAAACTTTCAATTGTAATTTTATCTACAAAAATCTCAAAACTATTCGAGTACAAAGAACCTCCCATTATAAACCACCTGATTGTTGCATTTATAAATGTAGCAATATTTCCACTCGTTCTCAAGCTCTAATTACAATTTTGTAACAATAATTTTCGACTCTATAACATCGCAGACAACAAATCAAAGGTAGCAAATGCGGCTAATTAACTTTTTGGCAAGACGGCCAACCAGTCAGCCAGCAACAACAAAAGGTAATTTGTTGTCGCCAGACGATCGCTAAATGCTGCAACAACAACAACAACAAAAACGACACAAGAAACAAACACAAATGCAACAGCAACATCAGCGACGACAGCAGCAACCCACGAAAATGTCTCATGAAAAATTCTGTTCTAGATAGGAGAACAGAGCTCCATAGATCAACGCGCCCACCTGAATGCAAGTTGTCTGTTAAAGTTGTTGCTGTTGCTAGTGCTGTTGCAGTTGCAGTTGGCAAATATGCAACGTTCGTTGCTATTGCTGTTGCTGTTGAGCTTAGTTCACATGATGAGTTGAGGAGTTGGGGATCTCTTTTAAGTCTTTTCTTAGCGTGCCATCTGCCCAGAGCCGAGCTTAAGTTTTTGCACCCTCCCCCTTCTTTAATTCAGAGAAACATTTCCCAAAAATAATATGCCTTATGATAATGAACAATGACAATAATTAATAGAATATCTTTGGATCGTTTAGACCAGGTATTCAAACACATTTTCTAACAGTGCCACCTTTTAGCCCTACACATTTCCCTACCTATCAAACGCCCCCCACCACCAACAACCCCCTTCAGGTGTGTGTGTGTGTGTTTAGATGTTTGTCTGCCCGTCTGTTTGTCTTACATAATCGTCACTCTAGATACCGTTAAGTTTTTTGTTAATTTTCATGACTTCTTTTTCTTGTCGGTTTTCAAGTATTTTTCCACCCTAAAACAACAGACAATAGAACAATTGTTTAAACATTTCGGAGGCCCCCTTACTTTTCTATGTTTTTTTGGCATTGCCGCAAAAGAATCTAAAAGAGAACAACAATTTTACGAAAATAACTAAAATAACGTTTGAAAAAGATGTTCTTTGGGTTGCCGAACAGTTGGCACAGTACTATTATTAGTTTGGTAGGTACATACAGGACAGGCCCATTGTGACGTAGGTGGAATTACCGCTGACATACTCGTCTAGAACATATAAACCGATCTCGCACAGCTGCAAAAACTCGAACTCTGTGACGCACCCAGGAACTGGGTTTATTTGACAAAGGTCTGGATTTCGGTAAATGGGCGTAAGGCACTTGCCTTCATTTTAAGTCTAAGTAAACACAACTTTTTAGTATTTGCAATAAAAACCCTAAATTTAGAGTTTTTTATAACAATAAAAATTATAATTAATCTTCTTTTTTAGGTACATAACAACTTTAAAACGAAGGCAAATTTGAATCAGAATCAGAGCGTCATCATCAGCCGATGCTTTGGATAGCAAAAGCGAGCATAGAACCTACAACCAACAGCCTGGACAATCAATCCAACCGCCAATCAATCAATCAAAAAGAAAAGCACAGGAAAACTTAGGAAAAACTCGGTTACGGCCCGTGAGCGACTTATGAGAGTTATGAGAGAGAAGGACCACTCACCAAGAAAGATGCTTCCTAGCCCGAAACAGGGCTGCGTATACCCTGCCTTAGGATTAATACCCACATCGTATATATCACATGTACCTTATGATCTGGCCTCCTCGGCGGCGGCAACTTCCTCGTCATCATCGTCGTCCTCGCCGACGACGACAACAACAACGACAATCGGACGTCTGCAACATCATCAACAGTCGCAGCAGCAACATCAACACTCCCACCAGCAACATCAGACGTTAAATCACCACGCTAAGGGGAAGAGAAGAAGCAGTTTCGATCAGCCCTTGGATCTACGATTGGCCCACAAGAGAAAGACAGACTTGGCCGATCAAGGACCCCTGGAGGATGAGAACAGTAACCTAATAATGTTCGCCAGTGAACTGGCAGTGGCTCAGCAGAAGGAAAAGGAGTTGAATAATAACCATATAGCTGCTTCGCTGGCTGATTTGGGTTTCGATATGAGCCGGAAAATGTTGAAGGGCCTTAAGAGAGGGTGGCGCGGGAGGAGGAGGAGGAGGGGGAGGACCCATCACCGCACCGCCATTAACACCACCGCAATGTTCGATTCCCGCCGTGCATCCCACACTCCTAGAAGCCATGACCAAGAACTTGCCCTTGCAGTATCGTAATGTGTTCGCAGGGGTTTTACCCGGCAAGGTTACCAGTCCGGCGGCCTCCAGTAGTCCCACGGGATCGGACTTTCCCTTCAGGCATCCGCTGAAGAAATGTGAACTAACTTGGCCGCCTCCTACCGAACAGTTGCAACTGGAGCTGCCGCATCCGAATCCCAAGCTTTTACCGGTCCTGCCACATCCGCAGCTTCAAGACTATCAGACCCGAAGGAAAAATAAGGCCAGAAACGCCGCCACTGGTGGCAATGCAACGCCCTAATCTGCCGCAACGCAATAAGGATCGCTATACCTGCAAGTTTTGTGGCAAAGTCTTTCCGAGATCGGCAAACTTGACGCGGCATCTGAGAACCCACACGGGTGAACAGCCCTACAAATGCAAATACTGCGAACGTTCCTTTAGCATTTCCTCGAATCTGCAGCGCCATGTCCGGAATATCCACAACAAGGAGCGACCCTTTAAATGTGAGATTTGTGAGCGGTGTTTTGGGCAACAGACAAATCTGGACAGGCACCTCAAGAAGCACGAATCAGATGCTGTGTCCTTAAGTGCCTTGTCCGGGGTTAGCGAAAGGATGCACTGCATACGCAGATTTTGCGAAAACCCCACAGAAGAGTCCTACTTCGAGGAGATACGCAGCTTTATGGGCAAAGGTCACACAGCAGCAGCAACAGCAACAGCAGCAACATGACCAGCTGCAGCAACAACAACATCAGTCAACAGCAACATCGGCGGCCAGTTCATGTTCCTCGTCCCGTGACACGCCCACATCCTCGCAAGAGGAAGCGGACAATGCCACGGCAGCAGCATCAGCAGCTGACACGGCAGCAACATCGTCCAGCAGAGATCAGGAGGAAGAAGACTCGCAACCCATTCTGGAGCTAAAGAAGACCCTAACCTCTAAGCTCTTTCCCACAACAACAGCAGCAACCGCAGCAATTACGCCACATGGTATATCTATCAAGGAAGAAGAACCCTAACTATATGAAAACAATTTCTACAAACAATTTTCCTAATGAAGAAGGCGAAGAGGTCCTTTAAAACTATGTCTAACATCTAGCTGAGGAGCAGATCCCTAAAACTATGTCTAATATCTAGCTGTAAATATATTTACCTAAAACCCCAAATGTTCTACAACTATGTGTAAATCGAATTGTACAAATCGAGAATTGGCAGATCCATAATTATATAAATACAAACGTATGTGCATAACTATTATTAGATTCGTCTTAAGCATTGGTATTCTTTTTGTACATATTCAAGCGTGACACGACGAAAAATGTATGAAAAATAATGACAAACAAAACAACGCCGTTTAAATAAAAAGTTACAAGTTTTTGAAATTAACTAACGGACTTATTTCATTTGCTGGACTTGTAAAATCCGTTTTCCCATCAACTCAAAAATGATGTTTTTGAAAAAAATATTTTATTTATGGTTCTTAAATATTTTTGAGCTGTAAATAAACTTTTGTGTTCTGCCTATTTTAATTTCTCTTTCGAATTCGTTCATCATTTTGTTGAATTAGCTTGGTTTTGTTTTTACATTTTACTTACATTCAACTTACGTACATTCTTAGCATGAAAGCCAACCTGCTTGGTTCGAGTTTGTGCTAAGATTTAGCCTTTTAGTACGGTTTTGATCCTATCCGTAAAAATTGGTTGTTCTTATTTCAATAAGTCATTACATCTGGTGGAAAACTCAATGAGCAATTAAAAAATATTTAAGCTATTGCTGTTGTTTTTAATGAAGCGCTAATTATGTTTAATTC